GAGAGGGTATAGATTGTAAATCGAAGGGGGGGGGGGGGAACAAAGGAAATACATATGTGTACTTTGTACACATTTAGATTTTATGTATTGGAAATCAATAGATAGATTGTTAATTTATAGATAGACAAAAAGCTGGAAAAATTTGACAGATTAGAAGTCAGATGTGTTAGATAGATAGATATGCATAGGGTGTTTCTTAAAACAAGTAATTAACGCAAGAGCCTAAATTTTGAACCAAGTTTAGCTGTTTTGACATTCAGTCTACTTAACTTTTTTTATTTATTTTTTATCATGTCTGCTCAAACGAAGGTCTAAAGGATACCGTTGTGAATCAGACAGGCATCTCTTTAAATAAATGGTCGTAGACACTATAAGATAGTATTTCCATGTTCTTCAAATTCTGCGGATTGTACATTCAGCTGTAATTAACAGTTTAAAAAGTTTATCATGATAGATCTCGTTAGATCTTTTATCTATCCTCCTTTATACTTTACTTAATACTTGACCTAGACCCATAGAGGTGTACGCATTTTTTTATAGATAGATTTATGGATAGATTTATAAATATATAGATAAACAGATAGATATGTAGATATATAATTATATTGATATATAGATAGATAGACAGACACATAGAAATATATTGTAGATAAAAATAAAAATAGATAATTATGAAGATAGATAGATAGATATTTTCGACCAGAAAATTGGAAAAATTAATATGGCTGTTCTGAAATCCGTTGTGCACTTGGATAATTTATGGTAACTTCTTTTTTTAAGTTTGTAATTATAAAGCTTTTACGGTTTTATCCAGCATCCCCTTCCCCTCTTTCAAATGCTGCCCCCCCCCCCCCCCCCCACTAGCTACCTTCAACATTTTATATATGAGATAATTCTCATCTTCAGCAGAGAGTAATTATTATATACATCATTTCAATCATCTAAATCGTCCATGTCATCAATGTCATCAATTTCATCCATATCATCCATATCATCAATATAATCCATATAGTCCATATCATCCATATCATCCATATCATCCATATCATCCATATAGTCCATATCATCAATATCATCCATATAGTCCATATCATCCATATCATCAATATAATCTTTTTTGAAATCTAAATATTTATTGTCTTTTTAAATTGTACAAAATAGTTTACGTGTAATCGACAAATTCGTTTACATTTTTTTAGATTTGTGAAATAAATACAAAATTGTTTACATGTGTTTACATTTTTTTTTATAGGTCTGTATAAGGGTTAAATACGTACATTTCTTAAATTAGAAATTTGGACTTAAGGATACTTGGATCCTGCAAGACATATAAATTGAAGAGTGCAACAGTGAAGTCGTAGAGAATTAAATGAATATAATAAGTCATTAATAATAATAATAATATCATCAATATAATCCATATCATCCATATCATCAATATAATCCATATCGTCAATATAACCCATATCATCCATAGCATCCATATAATCCATATAACCCATATCATCCATATCATCAATATAATCCATATCATCAATAAAATACATATCATCAATATCATCAATATCTTCCATATCTTCCATATCATCAATATCATCAATATCATCAACATCATCAATATCATCAATATCATCAATATCATCAACATTCCAAAATATCATCAATATCATCAATATCATCAATATCGTCAAAATTATCATTATCATCAATATCGTCAATAACATCAATATCATCAATATCATCAATATCATTAAAATTATCAATATCATCAATATCGTCAATATCATCAATATCATCAATATCATCAATACCATCAATAGTATCAATATCATCAATATCATCAATATCATTAATATCATCAACATCATCAATATCATAAATATCATCAATATCATCAATATCATCAATATCATCAATATCATCAATATCATCAATATCATCAATATCATCAATATCATCAATATCATCAATATCATCAATATCATCAATATCATCAATATCATCAATATCATCAATATCATCAATATCATCAATATCATTAATATCATCAATATCATCAATATCATCAATATCATCAATAGCATCAGTATCATCAGTATCATTAATATCATCAATATCATCAATATCATCAATATCACCAATATCACCAATATCACCAATATCATCAATATCATCAATATCATCAGTATCATCAAAATCATCAATATCCACATTTTCGTCATTATCATCAACATACTCATACTCAATAATATTATTATGATCATCATGTGATCAATATGATTAATTTATTATCATCATGTGATCAATATTATTAATTTAGTAGTCTCCCAAAAAAGAACAGCCCATACTAAAAGCCAGTGTTCAGGGTCAGGATCAAATAGAGAAAAAAAAGTTTTGGCTTCAAAACACAAATTTAAAATTTTGAATAATGAGGGAAACTCCAACATTTCTGAACTTATTGATGAACTGAACTCTACAGTTAGGGACAACTTTCAGTTAGAATACTTACCGTTACAGTTAGGGCAGCGTTCTGGTTTAGATCCTGGTTCACTTCCCGTCCCCTTGCAACTCTTGCAGTTATCAAGAATAGTCACATTCATATCCTTGTTTACACCTACAATAATACTACATTCATTTTCTTGTTTACACCTACAATATCCTTTTTTACACCTACAATATCCTTGTTTACACCTACAAAATCCTTGTTTACACCTACAACATCCTTGTTTACACCTACAATAATCCATTCATATCCTTGTTAACACCTACAATATCCTTGTTTACGCCTACATTATCCTTGTTTACACCTACAATATCCTTGTTTACACTTACAATAATACATTCATATCCTTATTTACACCTGAAATATCCTTGTTTACGCCTACATTATCCTTGTTTACACCTACAATATCCTTGTTTACACCTTCAATTAATAAAATATAAAAGCAAGCAAGAATACACTACTTCCGACGAATAAATAGAATAATATATGTCAATAATTATTTTTGTCATGATAAAAATGTCGAACAAATCATTGGTCAAGTTGTCGATTTATTTATAATGATAAAATCATAATACCCCCCCCCCTCAAAAAAAATCTTTTTAACAAAACCTTTTATGTTTAGTGTAAAAATGCTGAATCTATTAATTTATTCTAAAACAAAAAACATTCTGAAAATTAAAGAAAAATATAAAATTGGTGTCTGTTTATGACCTAAACACCTGAAGTTTTTTTATATAAGCATCTATTTTGTTTTCGTCGAATGGTGTTTTCCTTCTTCTTGGAATGACCCTGTACATTCTGACCTTTAGCTGCTTGCTGGAACGTGAGATTAACATGGTATTCCTTAGGTCCAAAATCAAAATCCTGGTGGGGCGCTTGCTGAAACAAAAACAAAAAAATTAATTATTTTCGTCAAAAATAAAATGGGATTTAGGCTGATGTAGAATTGAATTCGATTTTGATCCCTAATAATTTTACTTCTTTTGCGTCTCGAAGGAGAACATTTTTAAACACGTCTTAACCCCATTAACGTAGCGCAGATATAAAGTTAATTCCTTAGGTTCAAAATTAAAATCCTGGTTGGTGGGATTGATAAAAAAAATTTGATTAAAACCCAAACATAAAATAACATGGTAAACAATTCATAATTAAAGTAAAAACTAAATTTTAAATAAAGGAGATAATTAAAAAGAAAAAGTTTGAAACGTTTAAAAGTTTTTTGGTTATTCGACAAATAATAAAAAAGAATAGTTTGAATAATTAGATCTGTACAGCTGCGGAGCAGGGTTTCCAATAGGATTTCCGTTGCGCGGAACTGCTTAGAAATGCGCGGAATTAAAGTGATCGTAAAAGTGTGGAAGTAAAATCCACATGCGTTGGAAATTTATATATAAACATTATTTAATTACCTAACAGGGGTGTGCTTTTTCTTTAAAAATCATTCTTCTTCCATCTAAAATCAATTCTTCACCTGTTGTCCAAAATTTCCAAAAGGTGAACCTCTGTCTCCAAAAATAGTTCTAAATAGTTCTTCTGGGTCAACATTTGATTTAAAGTCCCAACCCGCCTGCTGATAACCGCCACCGCCCATACCGCCGAATTGATCACCTTCCGGTACACCAGAAATAAATTACACATTGGATTCATTAATTTGTGAAAAACAAATCATAAAAGGCGGAAAAAACTCAACTTTAAGGAATGGTAAATGTAACAAAGTTACCCTACTTTCTTCCTGATCACAACGGTACTCTTTAGACCTTTGTCTGATCAAGTGTGAATGAGTTATCCTTTTTTTCTGGCTCAAAATTGATCATCTTATTTTCTCCATAAAACTACGATTGTTTCTCAGATACAGGTTTAAATGTACCCTTGTGAATTGAGGACTAATGTCCCATTAACATAATTTGTTGGTTCAAAAATGTTTATAAAATATTTTGTCTGGTTTCCTATGGTTCCGTAAGCATCAAACTGTTTTCTTTTATCTTCATCTCCAAGCACTTCATAAGCTTCACTAAAATATAAAAGGTCCAGATCAAGGTCAAGATTAAGGTCCAGATCAAAGTCAAGATTAAGGTCCAGGTCAAGGTCAATGTCAAGGTCAAGGTCAAGGTCAATGTCAATGTCAAGGTCAAGGTCAATGTCAAGGTCAATGTCAAGGTCAATGTCAAGGTCAAGGTCAATGTCAAGATTAAGGTCCAGGTCAAGTTCAAGATTAAGGTCCAGGGCCGTGTCATGGTCAAAGTCAAGTAAACTTTTTTGTTTTGTGGTTATTAAGTTCAAATCAAATCAAATCAGAATTAGTTTAAATGAATATGTTCTACTTTCGTAGTTGGCCATAGAAGATTTCTTCATCATCAGCCTATGGACGGGTTACTGCTATACATATACATCCCAGTTCTATTTTGAATTAAAAATCTGGTAAATTATGGATCCAATGAACCAGGCAAGAAAAATTCTCCCAAAAAAATCTTCATTTAACTATCGGATAAAATACCTAAAATGATCATCCTAGGGTAGTGGTGGTCAGTTACCAAGCTTTATAATAGGATAGAATAAAAGTGAAACGAGTTAATTTACAAACATATTTAGCTTTGAAAATAAAATAAAATAAAATAAAAAACTTAGCAATAAAAATAATGCATGAATACTGTATAGCAGCCCAGTGGCAAGGCTGATGCACATCCAACATCTCACCTTGGTAATACGATTTAAAAATATTTTCTTTTGTAATACAGGGAGCACTGGCTCCATTACTATGGATCACGCCAACTGGTTTCGTTGATGCGAATCTTTTGTGGGTCCAGTGCTTCCTTGAATTAGAATTAGATTCATGTGCCCTTTAAGGGAGACTCAGTTGTTTTAACCGGATTTGTAGTATAGTAATAGTAAGTAGTATTTTAAAATCGACCTCCCCTGAGACCCATTGCCCAATACCCATGCTTATTTTTTTGTTGGAATTCAAGTTTGTATTTTTTTTGTTGTTGATATGGTCAAGGTCAAGGTCGTGGTCGTGGTCATTTCGTTGTGGGCATGTAGTCATGTGGTCGTGGTCATGGTCATGGTCATGGTCATGGTCATGGTCATGGTCATAGTGGTCAAGTTAAAGGACAAGGTCATTTAAAAGATGAAAACTGACCTGACTTCTTGAAACTTTTTAGCTGCATCTGGATCCTTGTTTGTGTCAGGATGGAATTTCTTTGCCAATTGATAATATGCCTAAAATGAACAAAGGTAATTATGCAGTTTTCTTGCTAATTAACAAAATTCCTACAGTGATAACCAGAAAACTCTGAAATAGTAAGACGAATTTATAGCAATATTTAAGTGTATTTAATGTTAATACAAAGAAAATAGTTTTAAAGACACTAGTTAAATTATTAATAAAGTGAAATAAGTCTGTTTACATTGCACAATTGCAGTGTCCCATACTCATTAGACTGTCATAATTTGAGTCTAAGAGTCGTTTTCAAATTTCAGAGTTTTCTGGTTCTCACTAAGGTCCGAACAATCTGACTTGCACGCTTTTGCTGCAGAAGAAAATTAAAAGAAATTATCAGAATTAAACATTTTTAGTCATCACTAATATATTGTTTAATTGAAAGGTAAAAAACAAACAAACAAGGGACTATAATTCCGTAGAAGTCAGGGCTGAGAGTTCGTCAAAAATAGCAATAATATACAGCTATTAATGTACCACTTGGTTACGACACAGATCTAGTGTGGCCAACTGTCAAAGTACAGACCAATGACTTTAAGTCACTGCCCAACTGCACACTAACAGCCACCTAGGATAATCCATCACGGTACTACCCTAGTTTGAAACTGTTAAAAAAATTCGATTTATTCTAAAATGATTGTAAATAGCATAATGATGAAAGATGAAGAAAGTTTTCTGAACTTATCTTTGGTTCATGAATTTAATGAATTTGAGCTAGATCAAGAGACGGTTCAACCACACATCTTGAACCGGTGATTCAGGATTTGTCTATGTCCTATGATTATAACTACACTGCAGAACGAAGGTAAGTATTTAAATCGATGTAATGTAGTTTAGAGACCCAGCTCAAATTCAATCAATTCTGTCCCTTTGCGCTGGACTAAAATGTCAATATAACGTCAACTTAACGTAACGTAACGTCAAACGTGGGAGAAAACTAACCTTTTTAATCTCCTTCTGTGACGAAGATTTAGATACGCCTAGGGTTGAATAATAATCTTTAGAGGATAGTCTGGAGGAACTGTGGAGTTGTCTGTTGCCTAAATATTGAAATTGCCAAGAAAAATATCAACAGGGATGTATATTATCTTGAAAACCTCCCCCCCACACTCAACAAAGATGAAAAAACTCACCTCCCCCCCTAGATTATCAAAAATACTTAAACTTTACACCCCTGAATATCAACGATGTGAAATAATTCGGATACAGGATCCTGATTTGCATAAAAATAAAATGTATTAAGAGCATAGATGATTTTTAGTCTCTCCTAACATTCATCAAAAAAATCAAAATTCGCATCTTAAAGGTTAACCATGTTAATCTTTAACGGAAAACAAAATTCCCATTTCCCATCTTTCACGTAAAATGTAATTTTTCGTATTCCATTTGCTCTTAATTGTTCTATGGTGAAAATTCTGTGGCGAACAGTATCTTTGTCCATAGATTCTGCTACAAACAGTATTAAAGTCCATAGATTCTGCTAAAAACAGTATTAAAGTCCATAGATTCTGCTACAAACAGTATTAAAGTCCATACATTCTGCTAAAAACAGTATTAAATTCCATAGATTCTGCTAAAAACAGTATTAAAGTCCATAAATTCTGCTACAAACAGTATTAAAGTTCATAGATTCTGCTACAATCGGTATTAAAGTCCATAGATTCTGCTACAAACAGTGTTAAAGTCCATAGATTCTGCTACAAACAGTGTTAAAGTCCATAGATTCTTCTACAATCAGTATTAAAGTCCATAGATTCTGCTACAATCAGTATTAAAGTCCATAGATTCTGCTACAAACAGTATTAAAGACCATATATTCTGCTACAAACAGTAAAGTCCATAGATTCTGCTACAAACAGTATATAAGTCCATAGATTCTGCTACAATCAGTATTAAAGTCCATAGATTCTGCTACAGACAGTATTAAAGTTCATAGATTCTGCTACAAACAGTATTTAAGTCCATAGATTCTGCTATAAACAGTATTAAAGTCCATAGATTCTGCTACAAACAGTATTAAAGTCCATAGATTCTGCTACAAACAGTATTAAAGTCCATAGTTTCTGCTACAAACAGTATTAAAGTTTATAGATTCTGTTACAAACAGTATTGAAGTCCATAAATTCTGCTACAAACAGTATTAAAATCCATAGATTCTGCTATATAGAGAAGTTTTCCATCTGCCCCAAAATGTGAATATGAACCCCTAGACTGACCTGAAGAGAAGGAATAGGAAGTAAAGCATATTGATGAACATGAAGTGATTGAGTGGTTTGAGGAGAAGAGTGAAGTTGAGGAGAATGTAACAGAGGAGAACTTCTTTAGGTTTAGGACTAGACTTCCAGAACTGTAGGATCTGCGGGGTGGGAAACAAATTTAGAATAAAGACACTAAAAATTTAGCCGATTTATCTTTATAAAGGGACTGTCCCCGAAATTTCAAGATATGATTTCCCAACCTTTCCTGTTTTCACTTTTACAGAAAACAGCAATGGAAAATAATCAATTATGAAATTGAAAAATATGAATTATCACTCTGACATGCAACTCTATAAAAATGTTCACTTTAAATTATGTGTGCAGTCCCTTTAACTGAAAAATAAATATGATTACCAAAAGTTCCCTTCTAGCAGGGAAGGGGGGGGGAAGACCAGGTTATCGTTTTATGAGAGAGAGCACTATACGAGCAATTACGAGTGAAGATCTGTAAGTCTTCCCATCTTGATGGACCCAAACCAAACCAATCAAAAACAGACAACAAAAATTGATCAAATAAAAAAAAATTTTGTTTTCCTTGTGAAAATACTTTGGAAAGGGAGAAATTTTGCAGAAACAGACATCCTAAAATATGATAAAAAGTTAAGATTAATTAAAAATTCATTCATAATTTAAAAGTTGAATTTATTATTAAATTGAGCAATATGGTCACCTGTAGTTATATATTTTTAAAACTGACTTCTTTTCATTTATCTGAAAAAATAGGAAAGTTAAAAATGTATTTGAAATGTTAATAAAAAAAACAATTAGCGAAAAAAGTCACAAACTTTGTTTGATAGGGGGGGGGGGTAATTCCAGATTAATAACAACAATTTAAAGGAATTGTGAAGAATAATGTTGTGATGTTAAATCAACAAAAAATAATGCATGGTAAACACCAAGTTACAATCCCTTCTAACACTTCATCTTGGGCCTTAGAGTGAACCTTGATTTTTCAGGCAATTCTCAAATATATGTCCTTCCTCCATAGACGATTCAATTCATTTCATCTTTATCAGAAACAAATCTGTTTGTGTTTTTAACAATATTTCCCTTCACCACACAAACAGATAACATTTTATATTGTCATTAGGACACATTGTAAGTGCTTTCACGATTGAGATCATCAAATATACCTTTAAAGTTTTTTTTTGAAAAGTTTGTCCTGCTGTCCTGCTAGATTTTTCAGGACTATGTTGGATTAGTTTTTATCTTAACTTAAGTTCTTAAGAAACTCAACTTTTTTACTTTTCCTTGCCATCTATGGTTTAAATTTAGAGCTAGATATCTGAAACTTGATGACTCGACTGGTTAGTGTAACATTCATCCAGCCCCCATGGTAAAAGATCAAAAGCTTGACTTAAGATCAAGTTCTTGGTCAGAGATCATATAAGCTTGACTAGAGATTTTATCTCCGGCTGGAGATAATAAAAACTTGACTAGGATCACAAAAAACTTGGCCATCACAAAAACTTAACCAATATGATTAAGTCCACGATTGAGATAATATAAACTTGACTAGAAATTTTGTCCTCGATCCTTAAGACGACTGGAGATCAAACAAGCATTATCTTGAATTAAGATCATATCACCGTGGCAAGAGATCATATAAGCTCAACTATTGATCATCAGGGCCGTACTGCAGATTATTGATGTTAGATTAGGTTTATGTTTCTTCTGTTTTTCCTTAACTTAACCTGATTTTTATCTTTTCATGATTTCTTGATCATAAGTAAATTCTTGTCAGCTGGTCTCTTTTCTGTATTTCTCAGCTTAATCATAGGTAAATTTAACATAAACATATAACTAAAACCGTATCTTGTTGGCTGGAAAGACAGAGTCGAATTGGCTGCCATGTTTTAAATAAAAAAACATGTTTTCGATTTTTCGTCCCGTACTTCATAAAATTTAACATTTATCTTTGCTGAAACATTCACTGAAATAGAATTCTCTGCAAAACTGCTATCTGGAACAGTGCACTCTGGAACAGTGCTATCTGTAACATTGTTCTCTGGAACAATGTTCTCTGAAACAGTGATCTCAGAAACAGTGTTCTCTGAAACAGTGTTCTCAGGAACAGTGTTCTTGGAACAGTGCACTCTGAACAGTGCACTCTTGAAATTTTTCATTAAGTATCCTTTGAGTAGAACTAGATCTTTTTGATGGTATAGATTTATAAGATCGTCTTTGTCAGATTAATAGTTGATTGCCCACCGATCATTGATAAAATAGGATTCGGCTTGACAAGCATCTAGGATCGATGAATCTTCTCCTTAAAGTGTGATTCTTTGAAACACTGATATTCTGTGATTATCCCTGAAAACACAACTTTTTTTCTTCTCATGTTTTTTTTTGATAACTTTTCATAATTTAGTTATACAAAAGTTCTTGAAAATGTTTGAATTAGAAGCGTTCATATTTTGTAAATGAAATTTTTTTGAAATTATGATATGAGAAAAATAAATTGAATGCCTGCATTGCTGAATGTGAACCATCAACTTATCGTAACCCTGAAAAATATAATTAGTAAATTACGAGAAGATTTTTTCTAAAACATAAATTTCTATTCTGTGTAAAATTGACATAATTATTAATTATGTAAAGACAAAAACTGTGCTGTGCTGTGCTCACTGTACTGTACTGTACCTGAGGGCCCTGTGCAACTACTCCACAGATCCTGCAACCAAAATCAACAACTAGAAGAGGTTGAGTATGCCAGGGAAGTATTCCATCACCTTCATCATCCACTTGTTCTTTTCCTTCGCCATGTCCTTGAACTCCACCATGTCCTTTTACTCCACCTTATCATAGTCCACGTCTTTGTTTGTGTTTCCTTTCAGTGTCCTTGCCCATACCCTTTATTCTTTTCCATGTCCTTATCAAACTCATGTTCTTTGTCCGTACTCTTGATCTTTCTTGGTCTTTACCCCAGTCCGTAGAAAATTGTACGTCTTTCTATGTTTGTCCCTGTCTATATCCTTGTACTTCTGTTTTAAATCAGACTCTCAAGGACGTCCTATTAACACTACGACTTTACCATCAGTCCTAATTAGATAATTGAAATACAGAAAATAGATTATGACAAGCCTGAGTGAGTTGATTTCACATGATCGGAAATCACCTGAACAATTATCAATATTTTATTAGCATCATCATTATCATCATTATCATCATTATCATCATTATCATCATTATCATCATTATCACCAATATCAGCAATATCATCATTATCATTATTATCATTATTATCATCATTATCATCATTATCATTTTTACCTGATTTATTATCATTCTTATGTTTAAAATGTACAATGTACATTGTTTTTATCTGCAATTCTCATTCGTTTATAGTGGGCCAACCAATTAAAACACTCTTCTCTGGTTAGGCGGGTCCAAACTACATAGTAAATTGTGATTTTTTATTTGTATTATCTCGTGCTTTGTAGTTGAATAAAAATATGAATATGAATCATCATTGTCTTCATAATCATCAATATCATCAATATCATCAATATCGTCAATATCATCAATATCACCAATATCATCAATATCATCAATATCATCAATATCATCAATATCATCAATATCATCAATATCATCAATATCATCAATATCATCAGTATCATCAATATCATCAATATCATCAATATCATCATTATCATCATTATCATCATTATCATCATTATCATCATTATTATCATTATCATCATTATCAGCAATATCAGCAATATCATCATTATCATCAATATCATCAATATCATCAATATCATCAATATCATCAATATCATCAATATCATCAATATCATCAATATCATCAATATCATCAATATTATCAATATCATCATTACCATCATTATCATCATTATCACCATTATCATCATTTTCATCATTATCATTATTATCATAACTTACCGCAATATTCTGAGCATTAACACAGAGAGAACATATTTGGCAACGAAACCATCGAAGATCTTCAGGCAGTGTCACCAACCGCTTTATGCACGCATCATAAATCCTGGAAATTAAATTCATCTATCTATATATTTTTATATCCTATAAATGATTAATCTGCTGATCTGAGGGAGGGAACCAACGAACGCTTTGAGCCTGCGCTATGCAGACACAAACCTCTCAGATTTGCTAGGCAGACAGAGCCCCCACTATGCAGACCAAGCCTCTGCTATGCAGTAAACGATCCTCCACCATAAAGCACAACTTTTTTAATCTTGGTTTTTATTTGTAATGAAAAATTTTAACAATTATTTTGACTTAGTGGCATAAGAATTTTACTAAAGATTAGAGTTATTTATTGATTGTCATGATTAGAAACATATATGGACTCATAAAGTGGTTTATAAGATTTATACTAAAACTTTAAACATTTCTTACGCAGAAAGGAAGATATTTGGAGAAATATTACTGGAGTAAACTTGGTTTGTTTTGTTGTAATCTTTGATTTAAACAATACCTTTTTTTAAAAAATGTTAAGATTTAAATAAATGATACAAATTTTCTAGATTTAATTTGAACTACAAAAAAGGTATAGCTTAAATCAAAGATTATAAAAAATGAAATTAGATAAAATGTTTTTCTTTAAATATTTTCCTTTTCGTGTAAAAAAATATTTTAAGTTTTATAAACCACTTTATTAGTCATAATTAGGCACTATTTATAATAGTTGATAAATACTTCTCATCTTTGAGAAACCTCTCATACCCCTTTAAACCACACTAACAGTCCCTTGAAACACAATTTTCTGACCTGTTGATTGATCTATCATGATACTGAAGATGTTTGATCATATTCGGAGCTGTGACCAACATTTTCCCACATCTTCTCTTCGATACACCTTCATACTCTTCATTCCAACCTTTCTTCACGATATACTCACACTAAAACAGGGGAATTCATTTTCAGGAAGAAATCATTAACCCCCTCACAGTGGTCCAAGGGGTGACTAGTTTTTGTCGCAATCTTTCTCTTAAAATGCATTCAGGATGAAATATGAAACATATTCTGATCATCTTTTTGTTTACAAACATTGTATCAATATTGTAAAGTAAATAGATCAACTATCAAAAGTAGCTTGCATTGTTTTTTGATGATTTCAATTTATAACTACGTTTCCCATTCATATCATTGTTTTTTGATGATTTCAATTTATAACTACGTTTCCCATTCATATCTTTGTCATTGATCCTTTAACTTAGCAATATTGCGTACATTTGAAAGGTCATAGTGTTCATAGTTAACACTGGAGACATAACGATTGCAGAAAACGTATAGTTCATAGCTTTTTTTACAGGAAATTCCAACGGAATCAGAGGCCGAATTTAAAGAATTTGAGCCGCGGTTTAAATTCAAGCCGCGACTTAATTATGGTTGATTTCACTTAAAATTGTATCAAATGTTTCAAGATTTAAGCCGGCGCTCAATTTAAACCGGGTTTGGGCGGATTTAAGCCGCGACTTAAATTCTTTAAATTCGGCCTCAGGATAATCTAGAAATATAATTAGATTCTAACAACCATTAATCAAATATTTGTCCCATGTATTAGTATCGTCTCTGATTCGTGTATAAAATACCCATTTTAAGAGTGTTCACGGAAATGGCCAGTTTTCCGTCAGTAATAGGAACTTCAACGCAACATTTCTACGACTTGGACACTTCTCTCAAAAAAATTGCATAACCGACCTTGTAAGAGTTATTTGACATGAATAAGAGGTTTATGGTTTGCTGTCCCCACAAATAAAAGCCCACTCTGCCCCTCCCCTTTTCTGATGTATCAGGAAAGTTTTTAAGGTTTTTATCTATTTGAATTTTATTTACCTGGAATGTGGAGTTCGGATGACATTTGTAAACATGCTCCTCAATTCGATTCCTAAATAAGTATAAAAAAAATTCTTTTCCTTTATTATCAACATTAACATCAGTATGAAGGGGGAGTCAAATCAAATAAAATCTTTGAAGTGAGTCAATACTTTTTCATGCAACATCCTAACTTTAAGAAGTTGCCAAAATCCTAAAAAAAACGAATATTGGAAAATGAGCAGATTTTTACCTGTGAAAAATGTCAGGGCAGTTGACACAGTGGAGCAGATTCTGCTTAGACTTTGGTCCTGGTCCAGCCGAGTTCTAGAAATTAAGAACATTTAGCAAATCCATAGTTTTCCGAATTTAGTTTTTGCATACTTGTTTTTTTATTTAAATATCTACATATATGTACAATAGAAATCTCTGTTTGTTTGTTTGCTTGTATGTCCGATCATAACTCAGGAACCTCATGACCGATTTGCCTCAAATTTTGATTGGGGAACACGGGATAACCACTGGACTGTTCTTGGCTTAGTCTTGAGATTCATATTTAAGGGGGTCGACTTTTAAAGGGAAAAATAGCAAAAATTGTAACTTAAAACCAAGCGCGGGTAAACGGCGTGAGTAACTATGAGTAACCTGGGCAACGCTGGGTTCCCAGGCTAGTACATTTATAAAAATGTAATCTCACAGAATTTCTTCTGTAATCTTAGCCTCAAATCTTTTGTCCGCGATTAAAAAAAAATCGAGTAAAGATTGTCATTGAGACTAATTTGGGACTCGAGCTTTGGGATCGAAGAAGCAACTAGCAGCAGTCGATCACATGACACAAGATATCGTTCATAAGTTGGGTTTGCGATTGAGCCTCAAACCTGGGTTTTAGGAATTAAGACTCGAACCGAAGCTTTTAAATCGCCGAAACAGATTACCCCATCTACCCCCCACACTTCGTCATTAAAGTCGGATCCATGGTCGTCAACCTGGACGATTTCATTTTGAAAGAAAGCATCTGAAAAGTTCTTAAATTACCTTTGAGGCCTGGCCAGCCTCCTTTGTCGCAAAATAGATTTTAAGCTTTTGAAAGTGTAAAAGAAATGAAATCCGCTTACTTATTTGGGTAATTTAAGGGTAAACTGAATAGCCTAAATTAGCTATTCATTGGTATTAGTTTAAGTTTTTAAAGATAAATATGGCCGAAGAATAAGCCAATTTACTGGTCAGAATAAGTGCCGCTTTATTTCTATAAAATCTATATTTTCCTGAATACTGGTGCAAACTGTGAAGTCCTCCACATCTAATCCTATTCCTTCCTCGATATCATGATATCCCTGATACAAGAAAATGGATTTTAAAGGGACTGTAAACGTAATTTTAAATGAATTTACAATGATGAACTCCCTAAAAAAAATTGCCAGATCAAGAAAGAAAAAATGTCCAAGTTTTTGTTACTGAAAACTAATTATTTTCTTTTGTGGTTTCTCTACAACAAGTGATTTGGGCATTTCTTGCTTCAGAAACAATGGAGAAATCCTCAGAATACCATATTTAACTGTTGAAGATAAAAAATATCAAATGACTGTAAATAATCAACCAAGCAGTCAATAAATTAGCTAATCAATTAATTAAGCAACTAATCAATCAATCAGCTTTTTAGCTACTTTTATACCTGGCTTTTTTTCTCCTTGTTCGCTGTGTAAACACCAAACCTAGATTAGATTAATTAAAAATAATATATTGATGTAATTGAAAAATGTAAAGCATTGACGGGACACCTCCCCCTTGTGTTTACACCATTTCAACACAATTTTAGTCAGCAAAACAATGTTTGGAACTTTGGACATATAGCTATTTATATATGTTAATTGGAAAACACATTAAAATTTATCACAGTCTTAAAAATATTAATAGGTTGATAATTTGAAAGGAAGACGACATTTGAGTGGAATTTTTATTTATGTGAAGTAATGATTTTAAATGCTTTAATATTGATTTTCTATGTCAAACATTGCGCTGGTTATAACAAATAAGGGGAGATGAACTGTCAGACGGAACCGATCCTGGATACAATCCGGCGAAAAATTATCCGGAACTAGATCCTGATAAATTATTCTAGATCCGGATCCTACAATTTTTTTTTATATATCTATAAATGGAAAAGATGCCTGTAGGTGTGATAGTACTTGTTCCGATGGGCCTCCCAGGCTACCTGCAATAATTTATTCTCTTTAACAACTTTCCCTGACCCCTTTCAAGTCTAGAGATGAGCATCGTTTTTGTGAAAGAACGAAATTGGTCGCGAACGATGGTGTCGTTCAGAAAAAACGAACGAATTGGATCGTCTATTTGTAAAAACTATCGTTGTTTAAAAACGAAAGATTTAATATCGTTTGAACTGAACAAAGGGGNAGCATTGTCCTAGGAGGCTGATTTTTTGCATGCGAGCTTAAAATTATGTATATTACATGCATTTTTTGGTTTTGAACGAATCTGAGCAAAAGTGCGCGCGCACGCGCGCTTTTTGTGAAAAAATACGACTTCTTTGACAGTTAATCAATCTTAACTTCATTAATTGCACTTGAACATTTATCCTGATAGTCTTGACAAAATTCTGCGCTCAAAAAATTCACCTCCAAATTCAATCAAATGTCCGCGCGCGCGCGCAATTTAAGAAAATATCTTTGAATACTTATTTGCTAAGTTTGGTCTAAGTTAGAATCAAAGTATCATGAGATACATCAAACTATAGCAAAATTGGGACAAGGAATTCATCTTTAAAAAAAAAACAATATTTTTTTACTGAACAAACAATCTTATTAAACGAACGATTTTCCTGAACAATCTTTTAGTGAGAAAACTAACGAAATAGTTGGAAAATTAACGAAAATTTTGTTAACAATTTTTATTGAATGATTGAAAAACAACGAACGAAATGGGTCGTTCAAGAACGATGAACGAACGAAATGAAAAAAAGCCGAACACGCCCATCTCTACTTTCAACTTTAAAATCATATCATATCAAAGGTAAAGAATATTTAGTTTCATTCCCCCTAAATAATTCCCATTCTTAATTCCCTAACTAGTATTAGTTCCCTGCAATATCAAATCCCCGTTAAAATGACAGTAAGCGAATTTCAAGTGACCCTCCATACGAAGATGTCAATGCCCGATGCCAGCAGTGCCCTTAAAAGCTTTGTCTATTCAAGCAAAAATTATATATCAACGTTTACAATTTAGAAAACTGATAATTTTTTGCGCATTTTTACTGCAGAAAATGATATAGGAATTATCAGGATTAAACACTTTTAACGACAGTTTTCTTCACAATATTGATCAGATAAAGGTTTCAAGGGTACCGTTGTGACGGAGATTGCGTTTTTTTGCATGGGAAATTATGTCTTAAGAATAATTTGCTAAAATCATTATTTTTCACACGGAGAAAAAAAACTTACCCTGTTCCCGATCTGCTTCTTGCAGGGAATACAAAAGAAGTGGGTGAGTGTGTTTCCTGACCATAATCAGCATTTATTCACATTTTTTAATTTATTTATTTAATAAAGCTCTTCATTCATGTAAATAAATCATTATAATAAAAGTCGTAATCTCTGTCTGTTTCATTGTCCGAACATAACAAAGGAACCCGAGGACCGATTTGTCTCAAATTTCGATTGGGGAACTCGGGAGACCAATGGGAGTGTTTATTGTTTATTGCTTGGATTTGAGATTCTAAGTTGAATAGGTCGACTTTAATAGCGAAAATATAGTTTCAGGGCAAAATCGTTCAAGTGCGGGTTAATGGCGGGAGTAACTATTAGTAACCTTGGCAGGGCTAGTATATATATAAATATATATATATAGTATTTTCAACTTTTTTTCAGTTTTTATATATATTGTAGATGTTTAAATATATATTTTCCAAGACAAATTATTTCATGGTTCTGACCCAATCATCAGTTGAAATAAAACTCTATATATATAAATACATATACATTTGTTCGCTAAAGCTGAGAAAACGGTTGGACAAAATTTGCGGATTTTTTTTTTGAGGGAACCCATGGATACCCCGAAGATGACACAGGCAATTTTTTGTTATTGAAATTACGAGATATGACGAGCATTGAGTACTTCATCTAAAATCATAATTTAATACCAAGTGCGGGTAAACGGTGAAACTATGTCTCTTAGTAATAATAATATAAACCTGGACTACACCGGGTACTAAAACTAGTTATATCTATAACGTTATTATTGCCAATGAAAGTCAGATTTCTCAACAAATCAAAATCAAACCAGACTTTTAGAGACGCCTACGACCACATAAACATACTTGAAATCAAGGTTATAATGCAAGGAAAGTTATTTCAGAGGTGTACGCATCTTTTGTACTGCAGTCTCTGGGCGGTAATGTAAACACAAGACGGATGTCGAAGCCTAACATGGGATCCATCTTTCACAAAAAAAATCAATGAAATATTCTGGTCTTAGGAAACTATTATGTGAATTATCGGTTATCAAAATTTAATGCTTTTAACCTCCTCGGATTCTAAAAGAACATCTATTCTTGTTTAAAATTCCGCCCAGAGAGAACAGGTTTCAAAATGTACACAGAGTATACGCAACTGTAATTAACTTTCCTTGCATTATAACCTTGCTTGAAATTACTCTACTAATTCTCGAAGGTAATGAGGGTTTACTATAGTTCGAGAAAACGCACATTAAAGGGAGTGACCGGCTATGTAAGGTAGTTGAACTGAGTATGCAGTGTTTTGGAAAACTTCTTTCGGATTCATTTGAGACATATAAAACTTTTTAAAGATCTGTAAATCCAGAGTTTGAGCGCAAATTCGACGTTCAAAACTCTTTAAAAAGTTTAATATGTCTCAAATGAATCTGAAAGAAGTTTTCCACAACACTGCATACTCAGTTCAACTACCTTACAAAGCCGGTCACTCCCCTTAAAGCATGTAAAGAAATGATTATGGTTGCCTGAGTCTTTCTCAAATCCATGAACTTGAACAAGGTGATCTCTGCAAAATATTGGAACTTTAAACAAAGGAAAAACGTGAACGTTTCAACAACATTTTTACGGTAACCTCTTTCACGAAAACTTTAGAAATGCTTGTCGTAAAACATAAAAGTCAGTTTTTTCATCTCCATCAAGCATAAATTCCTATCTGCGCGATAAACTGAAAATAAATGATGATAACAAAAGACGACATTTTAAGTGTCCCAATCATCTGTAGAGTAGCTCATAGACTTAAAATAAAATAATTGTATTCAAACTCTTTAAATTGTATGCTCATTAAAACATTATAAGAGATAAAAACCAGATATCAAAAGGTTCAAAATTTTCCTCAACGCGTTATTGTCCTTAAAAGCTTCTCCTTTGCAGATTTGACAGAAACACAGGAACCTGATCAATAATTTGATGAATCAATTAATCAATGAATCAATGAATCAATGAATCAATGGATTAATTAATCAAACAACACATTCTACACTATGCACACACTCTTATTCCTGTAGAAACTAGGGAAAGAAGGGGGAACTTGGATATAAAGGAAAGGAAGGGGAAATGTTGTATATATAGGAAAGGAAGGAAGAATGGACATAGAAGGAAAAGAAGGGGGAATGAATTTATGAATGAAAAAATGAAACAATGAACCAATGCAATGAATCAATGAACCAATGAATTCATATACCAATGAACCAATGAATCAATGAACGAAGGAATCAATGAACCAATGAATCAATGAACCAATTAATCAATGAACCAATGAATCAATGAACCAATGAATCAATGAACCAATGAATCAATAAACCAATGAATCAATAAACCAATGAATCAATAAACCAATGAATCAATGAACCAATGAATCAATAAACCAATGAATCAATAAACCAATAAATCAATAAACCAATGAATCAATGAACCAATGAATCAATAAATTAATGATGAATCAATAAACCAATGAATCAATAAACCCATGAACCTATGAACCAATGCAATGAATCAATGAACCAATGAATCAATAAACTAAAAAATCAATAAACCAATGAATCAATAAACCAATGAATCAATAAACTAATGAATCAATAAACCAATGAACCTATGAACCAATACAATGAATCTATGAACCAATGAATCAATAAACAAATGAATCAATAAACCAATGAACCAATGAATCAATATCCATGAGTTATCCGTCATCTTCTCTTCGAAAATTGATCATGATCAACTGTAAATTCTCTGTAAAGTAACTTCCAAATTTCTGCTTTAGAAACAATGCAAAGAATCAATGAACCATTGAATCAATGAACCACCAATGAATCAATAAACCAATTTAATCAAAAAACAAAAAATTAATGAACCAATTAACAAATGAATCAATGAAAACTAGATTAAGCAACAAATAAAAAGTCAGTTCAGAAAGAATAAAATGGCAATTTTTAAATACAGTGATAACCAGGGTAGGGGGCCAAGCGCTGCGGCCACGGGCTAGATAAAGTTAGGACGATTTCTGGGCCAAAAGCTGCGGCTAGGACAGGCTAGGGGGCCGAGCACTACGGCCACATGTCTTAAATTTAAAACCCCACCAGGTGCCAGTCTCTACGCAGGCATCCCACCGATATTATTTTTCTGGATCTACAAAATTCAAACCCCCTCTCTCTGTTTTGGAATTTTACGGGGCATGTGCGTACAACAGATAATAGCAAATCCCTATACAATATATGGCAGTTGTATAAAACAGTTACGCGCGATTGCTGAATCGAATTTCAAGAAAGAGAGAGATTAGTATATATTTTAGGGTTAGGTTGAGACACTTTCTGGGCCGAGCGCTGCGGCTAGAACGGGTCTCTCTTTGTCTTGTATTTCAACGCGGCATGCACGTAACTCCTTAGGGCTTCTGCCTATATTGTTTATTATACACAACCCACCTTATTTTCTTTGCTCCTGGATGTCTGATATGAATATGTGCTTTCAGTAGATTAAGAGAAGCAGTCCTAAATCAACCCCAGCTCATTGAGCAATGAGGTGAGCTGGGAAATTACCGCGGAAATGAAAAATCTAAAATGCCGATGAAAATGGAACACCGTAATGTAATAAGTCAATGATAATCACAAAAATGTTGTTTCACTGAACCAAGTTTGTGATTAAGTTTTGTTTTAAACGCTTTATTCATTATAAATAAATAAATTAATAAAGATCAACCATCATTTCGTGGAAATCAAGGCCGAGACCCATTCAACTGAGTCTTTGCCACATAATCAAATGGTCTAATCCTTATATCTTTCAAACCTGATGGCGTAAACCTTTGATATTCAAAACCTAGATTGTTTGATATGAAATTTTTTTGAAATATTTGTGGTAAGACGACATTGCATTGGGTTGAACATATGTAGGGATTAGAACTAAAGAGATATAAAATTATTTTCTAAATAAACAGGGTATAATAATTAAATAAAAAATCAAAAAAATCTAAATGTCATGTTTGAAGGATGAGCTGATGGGTGCCTGAACATATCCACACAGGACTCCGTGCAACAGGTGAACATTTTCACCTCAACAAAATTAAGTTAAAGTTTTAAATTCTTCTTAAATTTACAGTTAGCGTAATTTCATGTGTCTCTTCGTGCATTAATAGCAATGCCCGATTCACAACGACGCCCTTTAAAGCTGTGAAAAATTACAATATCTTCCATATTATTGATCAGATGCAGGTTTCAAAGGTACCATTGTCATCTTTGCATGGAGGTTCACTTAAAATTAGGCGTATAGTCCCTTTAATAACATTTTCTTGACACATTTAATCGGTGTAATAACTCTTTTACCTTTCATGTTTTACTTTACTTACTTTCAAGTTAAAAATTGAGTTCTTTCTTATTGATGCTTGTTTGCATACCCCTTCAGAATGTTCCAGATCAAGATGGAGTAAGCAATCCTTAAAAAAATGATAATAAACAAAAAACAAGAAAACAATGGAATAAATGTCGTGATTCGTCTTTTAATGTGATTTTCAATACTTTGCAACTGATTTATTTCTTATTTCTTATTTTTTTTATGAAATAGTTCAGTAGGAAATTATAAATCGTTCCTCTGACATTTTATAATTAAAAGCAGAAAAAAGACGTGAATTAAAAAAGTTTAGGATTATCACCACAAATAATATGAAATATTAGTTTAGAATTGTTTTAAACTATTTGGGGTTATCCCTTTTGGGAAAACTACAGACCTAGAGGGGAAACAAATGAATTAGTTTAAAACTGCCAATAAGTGGGAGAAACAAAAAAAATTTTGATGATGGGGGAGGGAGGGGGGAATTCTATTAAAATTTTACTTGCATGGTTAATAAATTACAGCAACCCCTGCCTGTTCCCGTAAATGTTCAAAATTCTAAATAAATTAAGACTTCAAAAACTTACTTCGTACAAACAGAAGAGCTTGGAGCAAACTTGGCACCCAAACATATTTCTACAAAAGCAATAACAAAAATGTTAATCATTCAACAACTAACGTGGAATATTAAAATTTCACTTTAAAAAAACCTTTATGAATAAATTATAAAAAATTTTGTTTATTAAAGACAGCAAAATTGTTCAGTAATAATACAAAAATGTCAATTTAAAGTGAATCCAGTACCTGTGACTTAAACTTGGTGCAATACTGTCATTTCTATCACTAATCTCCTTTTCTTCTTCTGTGTTGACCATATTCTTTATTTCCTCTTCTGTATCTTCATCTTCTTCATCATCTTTAAACGTAACTCTTCTTTCCTCCTCAATAAACTCTCCCTCAGATTCTTCCTCAGAAGTTGTAAATACAATCTTTCGATACTTGTCTACACCCCAGCAAACATCAAGTTAAAATCCAAACAAGTTCATTGGTCAAAATAAGGCGATTAAAGTGACTGTGGGCGTAATTTTAGGTCATCCTCTAAGGAAAGATAGCAATGCCAGATTAACAACAGTACCCTTAAAAGCTTTGTCTGATCAAGTATGAATTAGTTATCAATGTTTATAATTTCGAAAACAGATTATTTTCATTTGAAGTTTCTCTACAAAAAGGACTCGTGTATTTCTACTTCTGGAAAACATATAGGAATTATAAGAATGGGAATCGCCATCTTTGCATGGAGGGACATTTGAAATTACGCTTGCAGTACCTTAAAAGATTTACATGTGAGTAAGTAATAAGTTAAGTTGATATTGAAGGGTTCCTGGACATGATTGTTTACTAGTCAACTGTTGTCCTTTAAGCCCAGGATCAATGTTGATGTGACGATCCTGCTTTTCAGGATAGAGGGGGGACTGGTTTGCCCCGCGCAGTCGAATAATGTTGGTTTTCATCTCTGGCTTTGGCAGAGTCTGATCAGATAGAGAACTTTTGATGGCTCTCAGACTAACTATCTTGCTCCCGGGCTTAGAGATAACAGGTGTGGGTGATCTCTTAGTGGCAGTATCTCCTTGAAATCTAGTGTTCTCCTCTTTTGTGTGCAAGTCTTGTCTTGTCAACTCTTTTTGATGATTTATCCCTTCTCTGAATGTTTCCATTGCTTTCTCCTCTGTGCTTCTTGCATTTTCCATTATCTCATGACTGTCCTTTGGTTTTATACGTGGGACTTCTCTGTTTTCTAGAGAACCAAGTAAAGCTTTTGCTGTTGTTTCAGCACTGCTCTGGGCTTTGAGAGATTTCTGCCCATTTAGGCTAATAAATTCAATACTCTTCTGGGATTTTGTTACACTGTTTGTATATTCTGAAGATCTCGATTTTTCTTTAGAATTCTGAATCAAATGACTGGATTGCTGCTGAAATGAGCTATTAGATGTGAATGAATCAGTTGTCTCCATCAACCCTAAAGGATCTGATTCCTTTAGGTTTTTGAGGACCCTTGAGTTGTCTGGGTTTGTGGGTTCCTGTGAAATAATTGATTTAGGAGGTAAATAACTATTCTCCTTGATCTGTGAATGAATACTCTCTGAACTAAAATTGTCCTCAGTCCTTGTAGAACTCTGAGATGCAAGACTTGTATTTTTTGTCTTGGTAGACACCTCAGTTGTTTCAAAGATATCATCAGCTTCCTTCTCCACATTACTTGTATTATCTCTTTCCTCATTTTTATCAGCTATCTCATCTCTTTCCTCATTTTTATCAGCTATCTCATCTCTTTCATCATTTTTATCAGCTATCTCTTCTTCACTGTCTTCTTCGTCAGAGCTGCTTTCAGACTCAGGTCTTAGTTTGCAATCAAATACTATCTTTTGAATGGTCTTTCGCTCGGCTTCTGACACATCTTTCTTTATTTCCCAAAATACAAAAGCTTTTTGTTTCTGTTTAGGTGATCCGACAGAATCTTCTACATTTGGGGGTACGTTCTCTTTCTTACCTTTACGTATAGATATGCAAGCTGCAGTGGATATGAGTTCATTCTGCTTAGTAGTTTTAACCATGTCAACTTCGATCTTAGCTTTGGGACCTTCTTTCTTATTCTCTAGACTTGGACAGGAGTTAATATGTCCCTCATTATTCCCTTTATGATCACAAAGGTTGTGGCAGGAATGTTGATTATCATAGTGACACTTTTCAGCCTTTAAGGGAAGAATGTTCTCCAAGCTTGATTTCCTTTTCATCTGTACATTGGCGGGGGACAGAATATCCTCTCCACATCTTTCATCAGGTGAACTTTGGGCATTAGAGAAGGATCTATGTGAACCATAATTCTCATCCTCAGGTTTTAGACTGCAGTTTGAATTAACATCCTCTTGCTCCAATGAAGTAATGTATTTCAGCGTTCTAACAGGTTCACTTATCTTTCTTTTGCGAGGTCTTCGTTCCATATTGCGATCTGGGGTTTTGTGCATGGCAGCGATATTCTTAGGAGAATTTGAATTATCTACAGACTCCAGGGCCTTTCTTACATATCTTTGAGAGCTACTTCCAGGATAGATTAATGAAATATTTCCTATCAATTCTTCAGTGCTGGGTAGCATTGGAGGAGAATCGTACCAGCCATTTGATTCATGGTTGATTGGTGTCTTACTCTGTACTGGAGTTACAATTCTTCTTGGTGTGGGTTTTCTTATGGGGGTTTTATATTCCTTTGTTGAACAGGTAGCTTGATCTTTCCTGCTGTCCTGATTTGACTGGCTGTCCAAAGTTGGCCGAAATGGACTGTACGGATTGTCAATGACATGCTTAACAAGGTTCATGACATCTTCAAACTGATCTGAGATGACTGAATTTCTTCTTTTGGCGACCTCTCTACCACTGTTCATCTGTTGTTTACCATTTACTTCTGGTCCACCTTCAACTTTTAACCTTTCATCCCCAATTTTGATCACAGATTTCTTTCCTTTACCTTTGTTTCCCGTATTACTTTTGGAATATCTAAACCTTACACTAGAACTGAATGCAGCTCTAAGTGCCTGGTTTGATGTTGACTGAGACGGGTTGGCTAAATTGGCAGAAATTTCATTTACAACTGGAACTTGTTCAGCAGGTCTAGGTCTTCTGGATTCAACATTTTCTTCCCTGTTTTTGTAGAAATTTAATAGATTTAAGACTTTTATCAACCTTGCCCTTTACCTACCCTTTCAGTACTTAAAAACTTGAAAAATTCATTGGACTTCTGATTTGGACATAAATGTAAAAATCTCCACTTCCAAAGATTGATAAACATCCCTTGAACATTTTTTGAATATAACTAACTACAAGATAAATTGTAAGTTTATCAAAATAATTCTATTTAATTTCCCTGCTTTTCTTTTTCTCCACCTTTGGAACATCAATGCTGAGTATTGTAGGAATACTGTTTGAGTTTCCAGTGGAGGACATGACTGGCTTATCAGTCATTGGCATAAATTTAAATTTACCACTGAATGTCATTTTACTGAAAATATAAAGTTCATATTAGTTAATAAACAATAAAATTTCAGTATATTAAAACACATTTGCTCTAAGGTCAAAACTTCAAAAATCAAAAATGTTCTAATTTGTATGAAGGCGGATCCAGTCTTTGATTGAGCTGTTCAGTTTTGAAATGCCATACATGTTTAATTTTGAAGAAAAATTGAATTAGTTTCGATTTAATAAAAATCTTTTTGTGAAATCAGTTGTAGCAATCGAAACTTTTGATGAACTAGGAGTCTGTTCAGAATTAGAAAAGGAAGAAAAGACTTTGTTCCCGTTTACAGGAGCATTTATTTCACTTCCTTTCAAGGGTTTAAAAACATTAGGATGTGGAACTGACTTTCTCATTCCAATAAATTTAGGTGGTTTTATCTTTTGAGGGTTTACTCCAATCTGCCCCCTTCCTCTGCTCCCAGCAGTTTCAGAGTGGGAAGAAGATTTTAGATGGTTCAAGGAGGGGTTAGAGGAACAACTGATTTCATTCAGAGAAGAGGCGAAATCACTAGAATCAGCTACAACTGGCTCTTGTAAAAATGCTGACCACTTAGTCTAAAACAAAATCATGTTGTATTGGATTTAATTCTATTAAAATAAACACATAGTTTTAATTGACTGTAAATTGTTGGAATTCAACAGTTTTTAAAATAGACACAAGACAATAGCTTCCTCATAGTTACCCATATAAAGGCCTATTAAGTACCATTGTGTATCAAACATGCCTCATAAAAAATAGAGGGTCACAAAAAAATTACATCTGCAGTTCCTTTCAGCAATTTTTGAACAAAAATTACAAAAAGAAAGAAAAGTAAACTCACTTTTTTAGACGGTGGACATTTTAATTTGGCAGAATATTTATCTTCTAATTTGTGTGGTTCTTCTGTATGATGTTCTTCCCTTGAATCCACTGTAGTTTCTTCCCATCTTGCTTCCCTCCAAACACTAGATCCTAGATTTTCCGATCCTTTAACTTGGAAAGAAGAAGTTTTCTTCCCAATATGGAATATTGAGTTTGGTTTCTCAGGAACAGATAAAAGATCTGTCTTCTCTTCCAGTTGGTTCCAGTTCTCCTCCAAGCGGTAGATATGGATATTATTCATGTAAAAATGAATACATTAGGGAATGGTTACAATAAACATGAAAAAAGCAAAAACTAGTCTTCTTGCAAATTTATCAGTTGAGTAAAATAGTAACTTTTATGTGTGTGTGGGGCGGGGGAGGGGGGTGTATGATTCAACCAATAAAAACTCAACTAATGGAAAGTGTGTGCATCTATATATAAAGTTGTAATCACAGTTTGTCTGTTTGTTTGTTTGTCCGATCATGACTCAGTAACCCCTGGAGCAATATGCCTTAAATTTGTATTGGTGAATTCGGGAGAGCCACGGGTTTTGATATTCAAAGTTGAGTTGGTCAACTTTTAGATCGGGAAAAATAGCTAAAATCGTAATTTATGACAAGGGGCGGGTAATTGGTGGGACTAACTATGACCCCCCTGTGCAACGCAGGGTTCCCAAGCTAGTTCTAAATGTAAATAAAGAACCCCATACTGATAAAACCTGTATTTGTGAAATATACTCGACTGGAATGGAAATATAATGAACAATAACATCCCTCCTGCGCTAAATAACTATCTGAAAATTGTTCTTTCTCCAAATCTTCATGTTCTTCATTTTCGGAACAAATCTTATCTCTCTTAGATTCTTCTTCAGGATCAAGATAAGCAGACCATTTGCTGCCATTTCTAACAAATACATCAAAATTCTTTCTTTTTTTCATATCATTTGGCCGTTTTTGATAATTCCGTATTCATCTGTTAAGTCACTTTATTCTTTCTGTTGTTGTATAAAAAGAAATGGAAAAACTAAATGATTTTTTTAAACAAATGTTTTTTTTTTACTTAGATGCATTTTAGGACCCTTAAAGGAACTTCCATCATGATTTTAAGAGACCCTCCATTTAAAACGTCGCTTTTAAGACTTGAAAAGTGTTTAATTCTAACAATATCTCCATTGGTTTTCAAGCAAGAAATGCGCAAGTCCGTTTGAATAGAACACACAAGTGAAAATAACCAAGCTTTTTAGGTAAAGTTGTGAATATGAAACGGCACTCTTCCGATGGAAGGTCACTTGAAATTACGTTGTCGGTCACTTTTAAACTGTTGTGTATAGTTGCACTGTACCTATATTTTTGTATTTCCGGCCTTATTGTGCTCAATGAACCTTCCCCATCTTCTTGATGCTCATGTTTAATACCCTGTGTACTCTCTATCCCATTATCCAGCCTTGAGAGAAGAATCTCGCCCTAGGAAAAATAAAGTTTTTTTATTGAAAATCACATGGCGATTGGTGATTCAGGATTTTATTAAATCGACGATTTATTATTCGACGCGTTTTGATAATCGACTTTTTGTACCAACTCTCCTAGAAGAGCTAAGTTGGGGGCAAAATTGTAAAAGCAAGTTTCTTATCCCTTTATCTCTCCAACCTGCTGGTGTAAACTTTTGATATTTCAAACTTAAGACTATATGATCTAACAGAAATAGTATAAAATAAAAAAGGTCTACGACATCCTTTGCAAAGAAAGAACTCAGTTTTAGATTCAGATTTTAGGACAAAGCACAATTTTTCCTGTGTTCTTTAGTTTCAAGAGGGTAACTGAAATGCCTAAGAGTGGGGGGGGAAAATTGCCCTTCCCTATTAAGGAGTCTCGGGTGGGACACTGCCCCCAACCTGCATACACCCTTGTCTAAGTACATAAATACGTCCCTACCTTCGTCTGCTGTAATTCTCCCCTCTGCATATTAAGATCCATCACAATCCTTCTACACTCTGCTCCTAGACCAGTGAAGTACACTTTAAGAACACTCTGCTTCTCCTGGCAGACCTAGAAGTAATGAACGCTGTGAATAAAGACTGACTTTCATTTCTCGTTTCAAAAAGAAAGTTTTGTAAAAGAATCCAATAAAAATTCAGGCCAGATCTGAACCACTTTATCCCATATAGACCAGGGCAAGTGGAGGAGCTCAACCCTGTTTTCATTGTATTTCAACCTACAGGTCGTTGTACTGTGTCTGTAGGTTAATTGTTAATAATTGTACGAGAAAGGAAGATGAGCATAAAATGAATTTGTTCTTAAATAAATAGTTTTACCTTGCAAATCCATTTCTTCACCTTCTTTTGAATATGAGCTGAAAAAGAAAAACGTTTTAAACAAAATCATCTGAGTTTAAGGATGAAATAATTTGCCTTCTTCTGTCTAATTATATATATTTTCCCCTAGGGCCTCAAAAAGAAATGTATACCCCTGGTTTTTTTACGAATTCATATGGGGAGAGTGGGATTCCTGTTGTGCGCAATGCCCCGCAAAATTCCAAAACAGAGTGAGGGGATTGAATTTTCTAGATCCAGAAAAATAATATCTGTGGGATGCCTGTGTAAAGACTGGCAGCTGGTGAGGTCTTAAATGTAAGACATGGACCCGCAGCGCTCGGCCCCCTAGCCTGTCCTAGCCGCAGCACTCGGCCCAGAAAGTGTCAAAACTTAACCTAACCCGTGGCCGCAGCGCTCAGCCCCCTAGCCTGTCCTAGCTGCAGCGCTCGGCCCAGAAAGTGTCTTAACCTAACCTAACCCTAAATAAATACTAATCTAATTATTTTTCTGGATCTACAAAATTCAATCCCCCTCTCTCTGTTTTGGAATTTTACGGGACATTGCACAAAACAGGAATCCCACTTTCCCATTGATATGTTCAACCAATGGAATTCAACAAATTTTAGCGCGTAGCACAAACATTCGTACATTACTGATCAAAATCCTTAATTGGATCATTAATTAATTTGTAGACCCCTTCCTATAGACATTTTTAAATGCATTCATTTCATTAGTAGATAAATTTTTTTCATGTGTGAAACCATTCATTTCATGTGTAGATCCATTCATTTCATTAGTAGATCTATTCACTATATTTGTAGATCCATTCATTTCATGTGTAGATCCATCCTATTCATTTGTAGATCCATTCATTAAATATGTAGATCCATTTATTTCATTTGTAGATCCATTTATTTCATTTGTAGATTCATTCATATCATTTGCTGATCTATACATCACATTTATAGATCCCTTCTTATCATTTATAAATCCATTCATATCCTTTGAAGATTCATTCATTACATTTGTAGATTCATTCATAATCACATCATTTATTTCATTCATAATCACCAGTTTATTTCATTTGTAGATCCATTCATTTCATGTATAGATCCATTTATATTATTTGTAAATCCATTTATTTTAATCATAGATCCATTCGTTTCATTTGTAGATCCATTCATTTCATGTATTGATCCATTTCTATCATTTGATCCATTCATATCATTTTTAAATCCATTCATTTTAATTATAGATCCATTCGTTTCATTTGTAGATCCATTCATTTCATTTGTAGATTCATTCACAATCACATCATTTATTTCATTCATAATCACGTTTATTTCATTTGTAGGTTAATTCATTTTATTTGCAGATCCATTCATATCATTTGCAGATCCATTCATTTCATGTGTAGATCTATTATTACATTTGTAGATCCATTCTCATCATTTGTAAATCCATTCATTTTAATTATAGATCCATTCGTTTCATTTGTAGATCAATTCATATCATTTGTAGATTCATTCACAATCACATCATTTATTTCATTCATAATCACGTTTATTTCATTTGTAGGTTAATTCATTTTATTTGCAGATCCATTCATATCATTTGCAGATCCATTCATTTCATGTGTAGATCTATTATTACATTTGTAGATCCATTCTCATCATTTGCAGATCCATTTATTTTAATTATGATCCATTTATATCATTTGTAGATTCATTTATATCATTTGTAGATTCATTCATGATCACATCATTTGAAGATCCATTCATATCATTTGAAGATTCATATCATTGAAGTAATGAAGGGAAGTAATGGAGAAAGTAAGTTGGAAGGTAATGGAGGACAGTACTGAAGGAAAGAAATAAAGAAGAATAATTGTGTAAGGTATGAAGATTAGACGGTAAAAGCAACTTTCTCCGGTATTTCTTTTGATTAGACGGTAGCAGCAACTTTCTCCAGTATTTTCTTGTAGTGAGCCTCTAGTTCAGTGAACTGTTTCTCCAGCAGTTCAAGTCTTTGCTCCCTAATCAATCAATTAATCAATAAACAAAATTATCTACAACTGACCAATCAATCAATCAAGCAATCAATCCTTCAATTAATCTACAACTGATCAATCGATCAATCAATCGTTTTTACCAAAGAACAATTGTCATACAAAAATTCATAAGTCCAACATAAACCGATTAATCACCTGTCAGTGATGTTGACCATAGCTGCCGCAAATTCCTCTGGTTTAAGCGCACGCCGGAGTTTCTCCAGCTGACTCTGCTCACGCTGGTATGGGGCATTCAAGCGTCTTTTCACATCAACCCTGATAGAGAGAGTAAAATTCAAATCAAGTCTAGTGAAAAATTCACATAATCCGTGATAAAGATTGTAAACATTCACATTAGCCCTAGTAAAGATAGTAAAAATTCACATCAACCCCAGTAAAGATAGTAAAAATTCACATTAACCCTAATAGAGATAATAAAAATTCACATCAACCCTAGTAAAGATAGTAAAAATTCACATTAACCCTAGTAGAGATACTAAAAATTCACATTTACCCTAGTAAAGATAGTAAAAATATAATTAACCCTAATAGAGATAATAAAAATTCAAATCAACCCTAGTAAAGATAGAAAAAAATTCACATCAACCCCAGTAAAGATTCACATCAACCCTAGTAGAGAAAGTAAAAATTCACACCAATATTTACCACAAAGATGATAAATTCACATCTACCCTGGTAAGACAATACAAATTTACATCAAATCTAATAAGGATAGTAAATTTATTTTTTTATTTTTAACTATTATCAATATTAATTTCTATTCTTTTATTATCAAACCTGTAACTTTTATAAGCAGGTGTATCGGAGAGCGGAGTATAGTGCAGACGAACTATCTCATATATCCGTCTACGATAAATACAATATGTGATAAGACAAATATAAATAGATATATACATATAAGTGGATAGATTTCTTCTTAAAATAAGTTCAGAACATTTTATATTGTTAAGATAAAGAACGGTTATTGTGGTGTTATATAATAGATAGATTAATAAGTAGATAGATAGATAGATAGATAGATAGATAGATAAATAGATAGATAAATAAATAGAAAGATAGATAAATAAGTGCATTATTAAGAGATTTTAGATGAAAATTGGAAAGTTTGATGGATAGATAGATGTAAACATCGGAACAAAATATGAACAAGGATAGATATTCTACATGGCAAAAATCAGAACCCGGAGATAGATAGATATTCTCAGGGTGGCCAACACTTTTTTGAACCCATCCGTACAAAAATCCGTACATTTTCAGAAGAAATCCGTACAATCCGTACAATTTTCGAAAAACAATCCGTACAATCCNATAGATATTCTACATGGCAAAAATCAGAACCCGGAGATAGATAGATATTCTACATGGCAAAAATCAGAACCCGGAGATAGATAGATATTCTACATGGCAAAAATCAGAACCCGGAGATAGATAGATATTCTACATGGCAAAAATCAGAACCCGGAGATAGATAGATATTCTACATGGCAAAAATCAGAACCCGGAGATAGATAGATATTCTACATGGCAAAAATCAGAACCCGGAGATAGATAGATATTCTACATGGCAAAAATCAGAACCCGGAGATAGATAGATATTCTACATGGCAAAAATCAGAACCCGGAGATAGATAGATATTCTACATGGCAAAAATCAGAACCCGGAGATAGATAGATATTCTACATGGCAAAAATCAGAACCCGGAGATAGATAGATATTCTACATGGCAAAAATCAGAACCCGGAGATAGATAGATATTCTACATGGCAAAAATCAGAACCCGGAGATAGATAGATATTCTACATGGCAAAAATCAGAACCCGGAGATAGATAGATATTCTACATGGCAAAAAACAGAACCCAGAGATAGATAGATATTCTACATGGCAAAAATCAGAACCCAGAGATAGATAGATATTCTACATGGCAAAAATCAGAACCTGGAGATAGATAGATATTCTACATGGCAAAAATCTTATTAGAACCCGAAGATAGATATATATTATACAAAATCTAATTAGAACCCGGAGATAGATAGATATTCCACATTCCAAAATCTTATTAGAACCCTGAGATAGATATATATTATACATGGCCAAAATTTCATTAAAACCCATAAATAGATAGATATTTACATGGCCAAAATCTTATTAGAACCCGAAGATAGAAAGATATTCCACATTCCAAAATCTTATTAGAACCCTGAGATAGATAGATATTATACATGGCAAAAATCTTATTAGAACCCAGAGATTGATAGATGTTCTACATAGCAAAAATCTTATTAGAACCCAGAGATTTATAGATATTCTACATGGCCAAAATCTCATTAAAACCCATAAATAAAAAGATATTTTCCATGGCCAAAATCTNCCTGATGTTTTGAGTTTCTGTATTCCTTCTGTATTCATCTTTATTACTATATCTTGTTCGGGATTAGTCACGCTTTCCACTCAGTTGTGGAGAGAAATGTCCTTGCCATCTAAACTTCTATACAAGTACAACGCACATAGCGCCCTTAAATCAACAGGCTTAGAAAGCTCTGCTGACATACTTCCTCTGGGAGGTTCGGATACACACTGACATAGCAAAAATCTAATTAGAACCCTGAGATAGATATATATTCTACATTCCAAAATCTTATTAGTACCCTGAGATAGATAGATAATATTCTACCTGGCCTGTTTTCTGCAGAGCTTGAGCTCTTTAGCAGCTGACTCAGCCAAGGAATCAGTAAATCCGTTCATTACGTTCTCCTAAAGGGGGAGAAACAATAAGTGTAATTTATAAGGATCACCCATGCAAAAATGGCAATGTTTGATTTACAACGGTACCCTTAGAATCTTTGTCATGAATTAGATATAGTGATTTGCGCATTTCTTGAGTATGAGAAGCAACGTAGNCGATTTGTCTCAAATTATGATTGGGGAACTCGGTACAACCACAGGATGTCTTGCCTGATGAAGTTATCTGATGGATCTTCCACTGTAATATCCACAACACTGCTGTCGTTCAAGTAGTTCCTGAAAATTGTCAAGTTTTATAATTTTTGATATTATTTTCTTATTTAAACATTTTAATGATAGTGTTTTATTTTAATCTCATTAACATTTCTGAAAGCTTACAAAGTACAGATAAAGATACTCAAGCTAAATTTAATGTGACCATTTAAAATTAAGATGAGCAGCTCTAAATATGTTGTTGAGCTAAGATTGGTCATTGTCAAGTATTCTTTGTTAAGGACTATGGAACAGCATTGAGTTGAGAAAAAACCACGCCACCACAGATGTGTTACAGAATATTACGGAGAGCAGCTCTAATATGATACCTATTCCTTTACAGAATATTTAAAAGAGAAGCTCTAAATATGTTACCTATACAGAGTATTAAGAAGAGAAGCTCTAAATATGTTACCTATACAGAATATTAAGAAGAGCAGCTCCAAATATGTTACCTTTACAGAGTATTAAGAAGAGCAGCTCCAAATATGTTACCTTTACAGAGTATTAAGAAGAGCAGCTCCAAATATGTAACCTATACAAAATATTAAGAAGAGCAGCTCTAATATGATACCTATTCCTTTACAGAATATTTAAAAGAGAAGCTCTAAATATATTACCTATACAGAGTATTGAGAAGAGCAGCTCTAAATATGTTACCTATACAGAATATTAAGAAGAGCAGCTCAAAATATTTTACCTTTACAGAGTATTAAGAAGAGCAGCTCCAAGTATGTTACCTTTACAGAGTATTAAGAAGAGCAGCTCCAAATATGTAACCTATACAAAATATTAAGAAGAGCAGCTCTAAATATGTTACCTATACAGATTACAGAATATTAAAAAGAGTAGCTCTAAAAATGTTACCAATACAGAATATTAAGAAGAGCAGCTCTATTATTTTTCCTATACAGAATATTAAGAAGAGCAGCTCTAAATATGTTACCTATACAGATTACCGAAAATTATGGAGAGCAGCTCTAATATGTTACCTATACAGAATATTAAAAAGAGTAGCTCTAAATATGTTACCTGTACAGATTACAGAATATAACGGAGAGCAGCTCTAATATGTTACCTTTACAGAATATTAAGAAGAGCAGCTCTATATATGTTACCTTTATAGAATATTAAGAAGAGCAGCTCTAAATATGTTACTTATACAGAGTATTAAGAAGAGCAGCTCTAATATGTTACCTATACAGAATATTAAAAAGAGCAGCTCTAAATATGTTACCTATACAGAGTATTAAGAAGAGCAGCTCCAAGTCCTTGTCTCTGATATTGAGGAAGAATGAGCATCTGACTAATCCTCGGTCTCTTCTTGTTGGTCTAAATATCAGGTTGTAAACAAGGGACTGTTCCTAATATTTAAGTCACCACTTTATTATCTTTACATCTTTTTTAGAGAAAGAAAGTGAACCATGGAAAATTAAACATTTTTGAGGTTCAGGATTACCATTACACACAAAGGACGACAATTCTTTTTCTTACATCCACGATTCTCAGCAGAATCTTGTCTTTATCTTTGTCAAATTACTCAGTTTATCCGCTAAAATCTAGTTTCAATAGAACAACTTCAACCTCAATTTTTTGAGAGGGGCTGGGCGGGTTGTGATTCAGTTGGTTCGTTGTTGGATAGATTTTAACATTTCTTTTGGGTTCAAGATTGGCCTAATGTAAGGAAAGCGAATGAATTCTAAATATTTAAATCTGAACAGTTGCTTTTCTTGCCCTGTGTCAAATATTGACTCTGATAGAGGATATATGCAAAAACCGACCTCTATCCAAAAGAGATGCGAAACCAAACGTGACAAAGATATTGCAAAGTTTAATCAAAGCAAAAAACATAACAGTTTGAAATATTGGAAGTTTTATTAATTATTTTTATTAAACACGATCCTACGCGATTAACAACATGAGGGAGAGGAAAGAGGGGGGGGGGCGGCTTCAAAATTGCTGATACCCATTTACTATTTGAAAACGCGTACCTGCCTACCATACGCGTAGTACTCGTATACAGTTATATAACCACATATTGAGTAGTTACATCCTTCCCCGCTTGATTCACGCCTAAATATGTTTATTGCTATCAGTGCTTATCATCCGGATCCGTTTGATCCTCAACATTTTGGCTTCCTGGTGGAAAAATCTTTTGCTCTCAAGTAAAAAAACATGAGCAAAAACTTAATTATGTTTAGTTAAAGGGAGTGACCGGCTATGTAAGGTAGTTGAACTAAGTATGCAGTGTTGTGGAAAACATCTTTCGGATTCATTTGAGACATATTAAACTTTTTAAAGATCTGTAAATCCTGAGTTTGAGCGCAAATTCGACGTTCAAAACTCCTACTATGAGGGTGGATACGTTTTCAGAATCAGTTTTTTTTTAATTATTAAATAACGACAACGAAAAATAAATTTAAAGTTATACAGTAATCTAATTAGATGGTTAGGAACATATTTCTCAAAAGAAATTTGTCAATAAATCAATGTATAGCATTGATTTATTGACAAATCGATTATTTCGTTTTCATTATTATATTGAATTTCTTTTTTTCTTTGAATTTCTTCGCAGATTTCTTCAAATTCTTCAAATGTTGTCTTTTCAATAATAATTCTAGAAAATCTGCGAAGATCTTTGTGACGTCTGTAGTTTATTGTAGAACTTTCTTTACATTTTATATTGTCGGTATTTAATAATTTTAAAAAAATAATTCTGAAAACGTATCCACCCCCAAAGTAGAAGTTTTGAACGTCGAATTTGCGCTCAAACTCAGGATTTACAGATCTTTAAAAAGTTTAATATGTCTCAAATGAATCCGAAAGAAGTTTTCCACAACACTGCATACTCAGTTCAACTACATTACAGAGCCGGTCACTCCCTTTAAGAACAAATTTTCTTTAAGGTTAAAAATACAATAACAAGAAAAATATCAAGACTGAGATAAGAAAAAGATTAACTTACTTTTGGTAAAGAAGAAAGAATTTCCAGTTATCGTCATCAATATCAATATAGCTGGCTGCATCAATGTAGAACATGATCCAAACCTATATTAATCTTTCCATGAAGAAATAGCATCATTACCACGCATACTGTAGAGACTAGAGAACTTTCAGAACCCATGATCGACCGGACTACCTTGCCTTGGTGTCAACAGGACTAATGATCGATTGAACTAACGTTCGTTTGGACTACTTTTATTTGGACTAATCTTTAAAAAAAACTATAGTCCTATAGCCCATTTTTCGTTTTTCCGTTTTTCATTTTTTAGGATATATATATTGTAAAGTACTAGCAAACTTAAACAGTTTTAGATGTTAAACAGTTTCATTTAAAGTTTTTAAAGAGAACAACCATGATTAATAATAAATAGTCCAAACATATAGTCCTGGAAATATTTATTGTTCAAATATATTTAGAACTAGCTTAGAAACCCAGCAAGGCCCAGGGTAGTCATAGTTACTCCCACCGTTTACCCACCCCTGGTCGTAAATTACGATTTTAGCCATTTTCCCCGTTAAAAGTCGACACACTCAACTTATAATCGCAAAACCAAGATAAGAACATTCTCGTAAGTCTCCCGAAATCCAATATCAAAATGTGAGGCAAATCGGTCCTAGGGTTCCTGAGTTATGATCGGACAAACAAACAGAGATTACAAATTTATATTTGGAACTAGCTTGGGAACCCAGCTAGGTCCAGGGGAGTCATAGTTACTCCCACAGTTTACCAGCCCCTTGTCGAAAATTACGATTTTAGCTATTTTTCCCAATTTAAGTCGACCCACTCAACTTAGAATATCAAAATCAAGCTAAAAACATTCCCGTGGCTATCCCGAGTTTCCCAATCGAAATTTGAGGCAAATCGGTCCAGGGGTTCCCGAGTTATGATCGGACAAACAAACAGACAGACAAACATCTTAAAATATTTAGAATATAAAAAGAAACCTGAAGTCTATCATGATAACTCCTGAAGCCTGGGGTAGACTCTGTACAACTGTACACCTGTACTCGATATCAGTAATGTTTATGCTATAGATTCCGAAAAAGTGTACGGCAGCAGACCCAAGACTGAATATTTACTCGAAAAATCATTTTTCTTCCATGTAATTTCCCCTGGTTGCCGGAGCGAAATCTTATATTTTTTTTTTTTGGGGGGGGGGGTTTTTCCCAAATTGGGGAAAATAAATGAAAAGGGGAAAAGTGTTAAAAAAAAGTTGATGTCCAATTTTTCAATTTTTTTCCCGAATCATCAAAAATCATTTCGAAAAATATACACCCCTAGCAGAGATGGCAACGCCAGATTAAAAACGGTAACCTTGAAACCTTAATCTTATCAAAATGTTGAATAACGTCGTTTTCCTGAGAAAATAAACTGTTTATTTCCGTGTTTTTCTCTATTGCTTCTTATAAACAAGAAATGCGCATGTAACTTTCGCAGAGAAACCTCAAATGAAAATAGATTTAAGAAACAAAAACATAAATCTTTTTCATACTTATAAAGGTACTTTTATTAATCGGGTGTTGCCATCTTTACATGGAGGGTCCCTTTAACAGTATTTTTACTTGAAATTACTATAACAGTCCCTTTAAAAGTATTTTAATTCAATTTCTAAAAAAAACAATAAATGTTCCTCGTAGGTTTTATCGTCAGAAGAAAAACTATGCACCAAGTCTCCGAGAGGCCTAAAATTAGTTTAGTTTAGATTTAGGACTTTGGTGGATCTACAGGGTTACCCAGAAAGGATGAGACTTAAGAGACGACGGTTCTGATTTTACACTATCTGTTACTTTGTATTTATGATTCCTTGCAATTTCTTCAATCCGTGTACAATCATTAAAAAGGCAACAGACTATATTTAAGACAGAAGACTTAATTTAACCTTGGAATTGCTATATTCAACGAGTTTCAGGTCGTCTTCACATTCTCATTCTTTGTGGGTAATTCTGATTTTTTCTGGTTCTTAAGATTGGCGGTTTAGCGACGCGGTTCAAATTCATCAATTTGTCTTCAGAAAATCTAAAGATCTTGTTTTGGTGACTATTGGATACCTGAACCCGGTTTCCTTTGCGCTAGAGAGCTGTTTAACAAAATCCTCTTTATTCTCAGTAGCACTACCAGGGGNACAATCAAAAACAGATTAAAAGACTCATTTAAAATTAGATCTTCATTCTTTTGAAAATTCTCAGATATACATTAATATTTCAAGTGAGCTTCCATTTAAAAGGAGACAATTGCCCGATTTACAACGGTACCCTTGAAACCTTTATCTTATCAAAAATGTGGAGAATATTGACATTTTCTGATTCAGAAAGTGTTTATTTCTGATAATTTGTACATTGCTAGTTAAAGACATAATTATCATCTGTGATAAGTGTTTGCTCCAGGGAGTAAGGAATACTCCCTGATTTGCTCCATGAGAAAAAACTGAGAGAACCCGATTTGAAAGGATACAAGAACATTTAGGATATATTCGTTACAAACATTTTAATCAAGCTACTGGGGGAACATTCCAATTCCAGTGGACACAAGATCCACCATCTAGAAAACGTGTCTAAACTTGGACGATCTCTGATTGAGATCAGAGAGTCCTTTTACATTTAACAGTTTGAGACATGACCTTCATGGACTAAACAAAGGAAGATAAATCCAGTATAGACTATTATTACACCCTAGCTCAAGATAAAGAAGATCCTTTCTTCCCCCCCCCCCCTTTAAGTTCATATACTTCCGACTAAATCACCTCCCCCCCCTCCACTCTATTTCATACAGATTCACAATGTTTTCAAATCTTATCAGTTGACCAGTGTCTCCTCCAACATATAGGTACAAATCTAAATTGTTATACATTGTAAACATGTTTTTTTTCTTTAAATGATTCTATAATATTTGATATTGATTCGTGTTAGTGTACTGATGAGGACATCATAGAATGTCGAAATATATTTACTGAAAAAGTGGTCTCCATCCTTTATTTCTAATCTGGTTTGGTTTAAACTTCCACTGATTATAAAGAAAAATACAACATCTTAAACGGTACCGCTGTAAATCGTACATGCAACTCAGAATTGGAGAGTGAGTTCAAGTTATGTATACAGTCCCTTTAAGTAAGTTTATTTATTAAAGTTCCCTCTAACAGTCCCCATATTAGGTTCTGGGGAGTCAGGATTGATAGGTGTAATATATATACAGTCACTATAGTAGGGTTTAACACTTTTCATAAAATGATTTTCGCGTAGTTTTGAAAAATGTTCATCAAATTAGCATTATTTTGCCAAGGGGTTTTTAATATTTATGCCAACATTTTCATTGACAAACTTGAGGGACAAGCACATTTGACATTCATATTTAATTTTTTCAAAATTTGTCCCAAACAAATTTGGCGACTTAGAAACTATTTGCACAAAAATATTCTCAAAATTTCGAAAAAATACATTCTTTATATTATCAGAGACGGGAGGGGACAGAATTATATAGATTAGAGAGGTTGATCCTATTTTAATAAATCTTTCAAAAGTTTTAATCTTTCAGAAATTAGCTAATGAGATGTGAGAGGTCGTTGAACTATCTACCGCCTGGTCAAATCCTGAATTGCCGATTCACACTTTAAGATTCATGACTGTTCAGGTAAATAATAGGAGATTGAATCAGCGATTCAGGATTGAAACCGTTGTATAGGTAGTTCAACCACCTCTCACATCTCGTTAGATCCGGTTCCTGCTTTGTAATATTTTTAAAGAATAAAACGTTTGAAAGGGTTTAAATGAGCTCAAGAGAAAATTGTTTTCGAAGGTGGAAACCCTACTCTATTCACCCTTGGGAGTTATGTTATATATATATATACATATATATATATATATATATATATAGTCTCTAGACAGGTATTTGACAACTCTCAAGCCAATATATAGAATCATTTTTCTACAGTCATGTTATTACTCAGCAACAATTATTCAGTCAAACTAAACTTTTTTCATCCAACCCTTAAAAAATGTAGAAGAATCTGAGCTGTTATTTATGTTTAGCTGTAAACAATTGAAAAAGCTAGGGGTGCGGTTGCACAATTTTTGTATTAATGCGAAACCAGTTTTGCACGAAATTGCGCATTCATTCGAAATAATCAATAATCATTCTTTTGAACGAAATTGCGCATGAATACAGAATTTAAGTCATTTTTCATGATTTTGCGCAAATTGGCTGGTTTTTTTAAGGGAACCCATGAGTAAGTAGCCCGGGGGAAAGAAAGACTAATTTTTTTTTTCAAAATTAGAAATTTCTCACTTACTGCTGCTCAGAAAAAGGCATAACTGGAACCTTTGTGAATCGGTCATGAAACTTTTAACGTTTTTGGTCACTTGAGATTACACCTAAATTCTCTTTGATTCTGAGTATTATGTGAATTATGATTGTTACGCTGGCCTACAATCATCCCTCTGTCTAGCTTTCTCTTAGAAAAGTTTCCTAAAAGTTTTCTAGAAAATTAATAGTTCTTCTTTTCATTGAAAGGTAGTGAGTGGTTTACATAAAATATTCATGGTATACTGTTAATGATGGACTACAAATATAGTTATTTAGATATTGAAGGATGGATAGATAGATCTATATCGTCTAGAGTTTCTAAAGAATGAATGATGAATGAATGTTTGAATCTATGTTGAATATATATATATATTAAATGTATTGAGAGTATATGGAATAGATTGTATAATAAATACCATCATTAATCCAATATGGAAACACTGGAAAGAAAAGGGGGTGGGGGCAAGATATCAATCCCCCAATTGTTGAATGTGACACGTGGGGTACAATAGAGCCAACATAATGGCAAAATTACAAATAAGTCAAAATAACGAATGCACACAGATCTGCCGGTTTAGTAATCGTAAATGGCAGCACAGTTAAACTAGGACCGCAAAGGTTGGCCCAGCTCGGATAATAAAAATGTACATCGATTGTGCGTGAATGTCAATAAAAAAAAACGATTAAAATGGTATTGAGAAAAAAACAGTTTATAACTTTTGGATAATGAGTTCAATTGCGTTAAATTAATGAATAAAAAGTACAAAAGATTAAAACTAATAGTTAGTAAGTACAAATAAGTCTAGTCATTACGGATAATGAGCACACTTAAGTCAAATTGATGAAAAGTATATAGCATAGACTATTGAAAACTATGCTTTGTTGTTGTTGTTGTATAAAAATCTATAAACGAATGACAACTCGTTGACTGTATAATCTGAGTATTTATTGATAACTCTATATATCTGTATAATCTGAGTATCTCATGGTTATTGATAACTCTGGTTATTTGTTTAATCTGCATAATCTGTGAGTTTATTTGTATTCTTATGATGTTAGTATAAACCAGCCAAGTTTCTCAGCTATAATTACTCCTACAGAGAAGATCTATCCTTGACCTCAATACATTAATAAACCCTGCGTAAAGAATAGGTCTGGGCAAAAATTTTATTTTAATCTTTTTCGGATTTTTGACAATTAAAGATTTTGCTGACAAGACAACGTATTCCGCAAAATGTCCTGCGTTAAGTAAAAAAAACAATTGTTATGAAGTTAAACATTTTTCTGTAAAATTTTTCTGTAATTATTCGCCCAGTCATAAACCCAGACAAAGACCATTAATTTACAAAAATAAAAAGAGTTTTAGAAAACAAAACAAAAAAAGAAAAGCAAAGTGCAAGACTCGGAATAAACATAGAAAATGAGTAAATATAAACCTTTCCTTTTGTTTTGAGTCTAAAAAATGTTATTAAACTATTTCCTGATTTAATCAGGAAAAAAGTGAGAAAAGTGAATAATTCGGTTTTAGTTTTAATCAAAGTTTGGTGGAAAGGTAGATTATTTATTCCTGAGAGGGAAATAGATTTTTTACACAGTTTAACGTACCCAGTCTTTCGTAGTCATAGATTACTTAAAATAACAGATAGGACACTGTATGTCTTCTTTTCAATATTTATGTGTTTTTCGTTCACAAGAACCATGAGGCAGAAGCCCTAAGGAGTTACGCGTAGTCGACGTAGATCATGCTCTCTCTTTGTTAATTACAAGACAGAGAGAGAGCCTGGAGTTTTACGCCGACTACGCATAACTTTTTTGGGCTTTTGCCTCAGGGTTATTATGAACGAAAAACACATACATCTTGAAAAGACGACAAATAGTGTCCTATCTGTTATTTTAATCCATTTTTGTTCGAAGTCATCAAACGGAGTTATAAAATGTCGTCTTCTAAACCTATTAAACAACAAAGGAATGCTGCATAATTAGTTTTTAAAACTTTATAATTAAATTGAGCTCTTTAAACTGTTCCAACATATTTCATGACAGTATATTTATTTTTATGATAACTGAGATTTAGGTAAATAACAGTTTAAAACTCACTGAAAATTTGTCAAGACAACATTTTTCGATTTCTCTGAAGTTAAACTGTATATTGTTGTGATCTTTTAGGACATCAACAAACTGAATCCATTTTGAATAGGCACCAAATAGTATATTTCCCTAGTTGTTAATCAAATGGATTATTAAAGTGTACAGTTGTGAATCATACATTCCACTTTATGTTTTGTATTCAGTCCCTTAAATGTTGTGTGCCCCTTTCCCTTATTTTGTGTTATTTGTCAATTTTTCATGAAAACATAATACACTTGATAAATGGGATACCGGGGGTCTGAATAGAAAGAGTGGGAAAAAACATGCAATAATAATAGAAAAGTAGACGGTTTACAAACCTGAACACAATAGAACAAAGAAAATGTATAATAGATATAATATATATAATGACAAAAATTATTTTTCGTATTTAGGGTTCTTTATTCTATACAGGAGAATAATGCTTAGAGTAAAAGAGACAGTGTTCACAATAATCCTCAGAAGTATATTCAATAGTTGGACTCGCTCGTCCCTAGGCATTATGTAACTAAAACAGTTTATCTGTGATGATATTATCCTACCATATCTCTGATCCCTTCTGGCCAGGTAGCTGTTATCTCCGTTCACCTCTTTTCTCCTAACCTGTACGATTTCGGCAAAAAGGCTAAGGATGTATGCCTCTACCGAGCTGTACGGTTCTCCCTCAACCATACAGTACATCGACTTCCTTTGGACTAGCTGTAGGTG